CCAGTACTGTTTTGATTACTGTAATTTTGCAATATAGTTTGAAATCAAAGAGTGTAATGCTTCCAACTTTGTTCTTCCTTCTCAAGATTTAGCTATCTGGGATCTTTTGTGGTACCATATAAATTCTAGGATTACTTGTTCTATTTCTATGTCTAAATTTATTTTTGCAGGTTAAGAACTCAAGCTGTTTTTAATTCAAGAGAACCGGTTGCTCATAAAGAGATTAGTAAACTCCAAGAGCTCAACCTGGATATGAATGAGAGTGACACTGGACCAAGGTAAACTTGAGCAAAATATGTATGACACAGGTATTAAGGATATGCTTGGTATATATTTATAGCTTCATATTGATGAATCCAGTTTTCTGATCATATAAGTAAATATATTCACATTATAAAATTCTTAAAAATATAGAAAAATGTAATGAAATAGATAAAAATCATTCATAATCCTACTGTTCAGAGACAGTTCTTTGAGCCTCTTCCCCCTTTCTATCTCTTATAATAATGTATTCTATATTACAATAGGAATTATGCTTATACAGAATTTTATTTTTGCTTTTTTCAGTGTGTTATAATTTATGATGTCATTATGTTATGAAAACTTGATATTCATTCATTCATTCAACAAATATTTATTGTTTGACAAGTATTACTCAATATTTGTCTGTTATGGGATAATATACAGTTTTACTATTACAAATTATTCTTCGAGAAAAATTTCTTTAAATACATTTTTTACTTTATCTCTACTTATTTCCTAGGTATAGATTCCTGTAAGGGGAATTACTAGCTTAAAATGCATATGAATCCTTTTAAGATCTTTAATTCACATTGCCAAGTTGCTTTCCATAAAAGTCAGATCAGTTTACACCCCCCTAAAACCAATGTTTGAGAATTCTGTTTTCATGAAATATAAAGGATTTTTGGCCAGTACTTTTTCAAATATATGTTTTCCCCTATTCTCTTCATTCTTCTTTTGGAACTTTGTTTACATATATATTAGATCTTTAGCTATTGTCCCTGAGGTCCCTCACTCTGCTAATCTTTTAAAATCTTTTTTCTCCATTCTTTATATTGGATGACTTCTGTTGATCTGTCCTCAAAGTCATCAACTTTTCTGCTATTTCCAATCTGTTGTTAATAAGCTCATACAGTGATTTTTTTTTTAATTTCAGATATTGGATTTTTTGGTTTTAGATTTTCCATTTGGGTCTTTGTTATAG